AGTCAGCTGGCCAGGTAGTTGTCCTCCAAATTTCTTAGCATAGATAAGTGAGTGCCTCCAGCATGGCATCTGTTTGTTAAAACATCTCAATGGGTATTCCATCAGTTCCTGGAGCCTTGTTCTTCACCAGTTCCTTCAGTGCAGCTTTGACTTCTTCAATACCATTGGTTCTTGATCATATGCCACCTCTGAAATGGATAAACATCGACCAATTCTTTTTGTACAGTATCTCTGTGTATTCCTGCCATCTTCTTTTGATGTTTCCTGCATCATTCAATATTTTGCCCATAGAATCTTTCAATATTGCAACTTGAGGCTTGATTTTTGTCTTCAGTTCTTTCAGCTTGAGAAATGCTGAGCATGTTCTTCCCTTTTGGTTTTCTAAATCCAGGTCTTTGCACATTTTATTATAATAATTGACTTTGTCTTCTCAAGCTGCTCTTTAAAATCTGTTCAGCTCTTCTGTCTTGTCACCTCTGCCATTTGCTATAGCTACTCTCCATTCAAGGGCAAGTTTCAGGGTCCCTTCTGACATCCATTTTGGTCTTTTCTTCCTTTCCTCTCTTTTTGCTTTCTTCATGGATGATGGTCTTGATATCATTGCACAATTCCTCTGTTTTTTGGTCACTGGTTCATCAAATAAATTCTTTAGATGGTCTCAAAGTTCAAGAGGGATATAATCAAGGTCAAATTTTAGCTCTCACAGATTTGTTTTAATTGTCTTCAGCTTCAACTTGAACTTGCATATGAGCAACTGATGGTCTGTTCCACAGTCAGCTCCTGGCCTTGTTTTGGCTAAAGATATTGACCTTCTCCATTGCCTCTTTCCACAGATATAGTCAATCTGATTCCTGTGTACTCCATCTGGTGAAGTCCACATGTATAGCCATCATTTGTGTTGTTGAAAGAAGGTATTTGCAATGAATAAGTCATTGGTCTTGCAAAATTCTATCATGCAATCTCCAGCATTATTTCTATCACCAACGCCATATTTTCCAACTACTGGTGATTCTTCTTTGTTTCCAACTTTTCCATTCCAATCACCAGTGATAATCAACACATCTTGATTGCATGTTTGATCAATTTCAGGCTGCAGAAGACAGTGAAAATTTTCAATTTCCTTGTCTTTGGCTTTGGTGGTTGGTGAGTAAATTTGAATAGTAGTAGTATTAACTGGTCTTCCTTATAAGCATATGGATATTATCCTATCACTGGCAGCACTGTAGATCTTGAAACATTCTCTGTGACAATGAATGCCATGCCATTCCTCTTCAATTTGTCATTCCCTCTCAAGGGTAAGAAGGAGGGGGAAAGAGGAAGATTTTGTTTGGGGGACATTTAGTTTATGCTAATGATGGTAGAATATTTTAGAAAAGGATAGCAATAATGGTGGCACAACATGAAAAATGTTATCAATGTCCCTGAGCTGTAAATGTGGAAGTTGTTATGTGGGTGAATGTGTTGTGTATGTTTTCACGACAATAAAAGTAAAAAAAAAAAAAAAAAGAGAGAGTGGGTTTGAAAGAGAGTAAGAGAAAAATTAGAGTACAGAGTTGTGTTATCCAGTATGGTAGCCATTAGCCATATGTTGCTTTGAGTACTTGCCACATGGCTAGTTCAAACTGAGATGTGCTGTAACTGTAAAATATACACTGGATTTCAATGACTTAATGTGAGTAAAAATATGTAAAATATTTCATTGATAATTTTATATTGGTTATATCTTAAAATGATAACAATTTAGATATATTGATTGAAATAAAATATATTGTTAAAATTAATTTAATCTAGACTTAATATTGTTAAGATGTCAAAACTACCCAAAGCAATCTGTAGATTCAACACAACCCTGATCCAAATTCCAATAGCCCTCTTTACAGAAATAGAAAACCCAATCATCAACTTTATATGGAATGGCAATAGGCTCTGAATAGTTAAAACAATGTGAAAGAGAGGAACAAAGTAGGAGGGCTCATACTCCTGGTTTTAAAACATACTATACAAAATCCAGACAAATGGAAATGGAGAACCCAGGGCAGAAATGGGGAGAGGGCTGATACATTTTGGGGAATGCAACCAATGTCAGGGAACACTTTATGTACAAACTATCAAATGGGAAGCTAATTTGTTCTGTAAACTTTCACCAAAAGCACAATGAAAAAAAATTAATAAAATAAAACATACTACCCAACCAAAAACCAAATCCACTGCTATCGAGTTGATTCTGACTCATAGCTATTCCCACTGGGTTTCCAAGGCAGTAAATCTTTATGAAAGTAGATTGCCCCATCTTCCTTCTGCAGACTGGCTGGTGGTTTGAGCCGCCAACCTTCTAGTTAGCAGTCAAATGCCTCAGGCACTGAGCCACCAGAAATCCTTAAAACATACAACATACGGTAATCAAATGGCCTGGTACTGATATAACAAAACACATAGACCAATGGAATAGAAATGCCAGTCCCGAAATAAACTCACACATCTATGGTCAACTGATTTTTGTTGAGGGTACTAAGTCCATTTGACAGGGAAAGAAGAGTGTCTTCAATAAATAGTGCTGGGGAAATTGGATTTCCACATGCAGAAAAATGAAACAGAATCCATGCCTCATACCATACACAACAAAAACTTCAAAGTGGATTAAGGACATAAATGTGCAAACTAAAACCATAAAATTCTTAGAAGAACAAGTAGGATCAATGCTGTCAGGCCTAGCTTTCACCTATGACTTATCTAATATAGTAACAAAAACACAAACAGCAAAAGACAAAATCAATAAACAGGACCTCATAAAAATTAAAAGCTTTTGTTCATCTAGACTTTAGCAAAAAGTGAAAAGACAGAAACAACCTAAGTGCCCATCAACAGATGAATGGATAACCAAACTATGGTACATATGCTCAATGGAATACTATGCAACACTAAAGAAAAATCTTCCAAACACCTCATAATGTGGATGAATTTGGAGGAAATTATACTGAGTAAAATAAGTCAATCACATGAGAAAAAATATTATATGAGTTCACTACTGTAAAAAGTCAAGGAAAGGTTTATGTATGGAAGAAAACTTTCTTTTTTTGACTACCAGGTATGGGTGGGGAGGGAAAACTACTAGATAAGTAAGAAACAAGTATTGATTTGGGTAAAGGGAAAGGCAATATACCAAAAGCAAGTAACCAGCACAATAACACTAAGGAAAAGGAAGACACTGAGAGGTACACAAGAGGTACAGTCAACAGAGGTAAGAACATTTACATATATAATACTTCATTATCAGTAAGAACAAACATTATTGGTGGATACACAGGTGTTGTTGTTGTTGTTGTTATATGCCATCGAGTCGGACCCAACTCATAGCGACCCCTCCTTGGGTTTCCCAGGCAGTATCACTACGGAAGTAGATTGCCCCATCTTCCTTCCGAGGAGTGGCTGGTGGGTTTGAACCGCCAGCCTTCTGGTTAGCAGTCAAGTGCCTTAGGCACTATGCTACCAGAGCTCCCAGATACACAGGTATACAGGCTAAATAATCAGGTATGGGTAGGCAAAAGGGCATATATGTTTGGCAGATGATAATTGTACATATGTACTTGTATGTGCTATAATAAAGTCCACATATATAATAGGGGAGCTCTGGTAGCATAGTACCTAAGGCATTTGACTGCTAACCAGAAGGCTGGCAGTTCAAACCCACCAGCCACTCCTTGGAAGGAAGATTCCCAATTCTCAGAAACCCAAGGTGGGGTCGCTATGAGTCGGATCCAACTTGACAGCAGTGAGGTTTTTTTTTATATTTAATAGAGCTAATGGCGGCAAAGCTATGATAACATCTTAGCCATAGGCAGTAAGGGAATAAGTCACTGGGCCTGCAGGCTCAGGACCATGGTCACAGGGGACCATCAAGCTCATCTGGTACAACATGGTCCACAAAGACATGCTTCTACATCCTACTTTGGTGAGTAGCAACCAGGGTCTTAAAAACTTGCGAGCAGCCATGTAAAATGCAACAATTGGTCTCTACTCATCTGGAGCAAAAAAGACTGAAAAAAAAAAAAATCAAAGACTCATGGAAACCATTAGTCCAAGGACTAGTAAACCATGGGAACATGAGCCCACATAATCCTGAGACCAGAATGGTGTCCAACTACCGATACCAAACATGTTGATCAAAGATTCCATAGAAGAATCCTGATCAAAAGGGGGGAAATGCAGAACAGAATTCAAATTCTCATGGACTCTAGACTTTCTGAAGCCATGGAGGCTGGATAAATCCCCGAGAATACTACCCTGAGATCATCATTAAATCTTTAACAACTCAGAAAAGGATGGTAAGAATGCCTGCAGAACTCAAAGAATGTAATCAATGTACATGAGAAACTTTGAATTGGTGTTGTCTTGCTGTGTATATTCTCAACAACAAGAACAAAATAATAAAATTTTGAGAAAAAAAGAGAGAGAAAATCAGAGTATGAGGCCTGCCCTAAAAAATGTAGGTAAACAAAAGTAATATAAAAGTATGTCAGGCCCTCAATTAATAAAATTATTATTAAGTTCAAATTAAAAAAGATTAATTTCATCTGCTTCTATTTACTTTTCTTAATGTGACTATTAGAAAATTTACATGTGTGGCTCACATTTGTGACTCACATTCTATTTCTATCAGATAGTGCCTGGCTGGTATGGACAACTCTTTCAAGAAGGTATGCTGAAAAGGGGAAAAAAAATTGTGGGAAATAACCAAAGAGAAGAGTGGGATCAAGAGAGTTTGTGTGTGTCTGTCTGTGTGTGTGTGTGTATGTGTTTAATAACTTCTTCATGGGATGAACTATGAGAATGAAATGAGATGAAGCTAAGAAAAATAATGTCTTGTGCATTATAGCCCCTCATTGTGCTATTATGACAGAAATGGAGAGGGAAGAAAGGAGAGAGGGAAAAGGAGAATGGGAAAAAGGCAGGACAGAGGAGAGAAAGGAGAAGGGAGAAGGAAAGATCAGAGGTCTCCTTACTCTTTGTGCGTCCTTTCCAGCATTTGCAAATCCCGCTTCTGATCCACCAGTTGTTTCAGAATGGCTCTCCTCTTGTGGCCAGCAGCTGCTTCCAGCTGGTGCTTCATGTAATTCTGTTCTCGATTAAGTCTTTCCATCATCAACTCACACCTGTTGTTACCAAAGATGTGTTCTGAAGAGTCTGGTTCAAACATAGGTAGTTGGACAGGTTTATTCTTTACCTGAAAAAAGGATACCCATAATGCAGATTATAACTATACCAGGGAATAAACTTTATGCACCACTCAATAGTATAGTAAAATACCAATAGCTTACAAGGTAAGAGTAACTTAAAGTACCAAACGGAAACACATAATGGTATTCATTTTTAGAATGTGACTGAAACACTGAATACTTTTTAAAAATTAACTTTCCCCTACCTGTGCATCCAAAGCTCTCTTGTAACACTGGGATTCTTCCATCTTATCTTTCAAATATTTGGCCCTTTGTGCAGCAAGTCTAGCAGATGAAAACAGGAGAAAAGGAGGTCACAGTTTTACATAGTCTTTAAGGATACAGATTAACATCATCAAAACATGTTTAATAAATATTCATAAGAATGAAAGCCTGATCAGTACAAACTGATGTTTCCTTCTGAAAGATTTCATTTTAAAAAAGAAAAGAGTAATTCAAATCCATAGGGTATCAGGGAAAGGGGAAAGGGGTGAATAGGTGGGTGAATAGGTGAAACATGGCATTTTTAGGGCAGTGAAACTATTCAATATGATTCTATAATGGTGGATATGCTTGTTGTGTATTTGTCAAAACTCATAGGAATGTAAAATATAAAGTTTGAACTTTAATGTAAAAAAATGAGCCAAACTCATTGCCATTGAGTCAATTCCGACCATAATGACTGCCATTGGGTTTCCAAGGCTATAAATCCTTACAGAAGCAGACAGCCTCATCTTTCTTCTATGGAGTGGCTGCTGGGTTCAAACCATGGACCCTTTGATTAGCAGCCAAATGCCTTAATCACTACACCACCAGTGCTCCTCTGTGTAAACTGTGGACTTTATTTAATGTTCTTCTTGTTGTCAGCTGCAGTTGAATCAGCCCTCAATTTATGGCAACACAATGTACAACAGGATCAGACCACTATTATCCATAGGGTTTTCAGTGGCTGATTTTTGGAAATAGATCACCAGATCTTTCTTCCTAGTCTTAGTCTGTTCTGCATCACACAGGACACCGTGGTGACTGAGCTTGAGGTACATTGGCTAGCAATCAATCCTGGCCCCCTACATGGAAGGTGTTCTGGTCACCTAGTGCTGCTCTGACAAGAATGTACCACAAATGGGATGGCCTTAACAAATAGGAGTTTATTCTTAAATTTGGAGGCTTTAAATCCAAGTTCAAAGTACCAGTCTCTTGGGGCTGGGTGAAAGCTTCTCAACCTTGGGGTCCAGCTCGGCCTCCTGCTCCCAGCTCACTGGAGCTAGAGGCATTTCTTTACTCAGACAGCTATTGGTTGCTGAGGCTGAGAAGCTCCAAGCTTGACAAGTAAAAAGGCACAATCCCAACGTTACCAATCCACACAGCAGGCCATTAACTTAAGTCCACTGTAAGTCTCAAGGTCGGCAGAGCACAGCAGGCTGCTGAGCAACGATGCAGCTACATGCAGGGTCCAAGAATGCCAAAGGCTAGAGACCATTCCCAAAGGCTTCTCCTTATGTACAGGAAGCAGATCACATACCCAAAGGCAGCTACCCAGCTGCTTGTGGTAGATCCCACCATGGAGTTGACTGCCAGTCTCCTCATGGGGATTAACTACCACCAGCTGCCCAGCCACTCAACCAGGCCCAGCCAAGTTGACACACAAACTGAACTACCACAGAAGGCAAGAATTCTACCACTGAACCACCACTGTTCTCTAAGTTAATAATACTCTATCAGTACTGGTCACCTATCATTACAAAATGTACCATATGAATGTAAGATATTCACAGGAGAAATATCATGCAGAGCAGAGAGGAACTATATGGGAACTCTGTATTTTCTGCACAATTTTTCCATAAACGTAAAACTGCTCCAAAAAATAAAGTCTATTTCCAAAAGAAAAAAAGTAGATTACAAATCCAAATGCTAATGGGCCAATATGTTGGAGAGAGGACAGACAGGACAGGTATCAGGTGACCAATTAAATTATCCAAATGCACTACCCCTAGGACAGGCACCCACCCATCAACCCCACACCAACATACACATTTTTTAAAATGTGGAAAGCAGGAAATGACTATTCATTCCAGAAAATGATTCATTAGTAAGATTCCTTTTTAATAAAAGTGATCTTTCCTTTCACATGTAAATTATGATTCTAATACATGCAACCTTTAGGGAACCCATATGATCTGTAAAGGACATATAATGGAGTGTATAAATTGTATAGAAATGTAATTCTCTGGTCAAAGAAAAGCTTATTAGTTGTTTTAGAGTCTGCTTACACTATAATAGCTTTCTAAATTGCTCTCTTGACCCAGAAATGTGGGCCCCCCTGTTAGACACACTAGAATTCTGTGGCCTTGACCCTATCCCAGGCCTCAAATGACTCACCAAACCAATCAGAATTTCTTTCTGGGAATCCAGAATTGAGACTAACATTTATATATAGTTGGGCTGGAATAAAGGTGTATCAACTAGGGAGCTGTGGGTGTGAGCAGAGGAAAATCTACTCTACATGGCATTTTAATCACTGGTTCCAGTCCCCTCTGGGTCTCTAGTACATTCCTTCTCTTGGGTTCCATGGGACTTGCACACAAACTTACAGTAAAACCTCAGCTTTGGCTTGAGGTCACCTGATCATCTAATAACTAGGAGGGATGCCTGCTCAAGACAAATCCCTTCCTCTATACCACTATTAGTAAAACAATGTAAAATGCTACTCAAAAATTACAGTAAAGATTGCTGCTGTTGTTGTTACGTGCCATTGAGTCAGACCTGACTCACAGCAACCCCTCCTTGGGTTTCCAAGGCAGTATTACTACAGAAGTAGATTGTCCAACCTTCCTTCCAGGGAATGGCTGGTGGTTTGAACCTCCAGCCTTCTGGTTAACAGTCAAGTGCATTAGGCTAAGGATTAGCAATCACAAATGTTAAGTATAATAATGATAGCTTTTTAATTTTTCTAATTAACGTTATGCTCTGTTACAGGCTGTTAACTGAGTTAGTTTCCTCAGTTGGTTAGGTGGTGCTAATGAAACTACCAATGCTGAGACAATCCCACATGGAATTTAACTTCACGTGAAAATCCCAAATCCATTTTTCAGAGCACATCTAGCTAGACTCACTCCTCTGTAAGTTGCACTTGTTCTAGGCGATCCATCAATTCTCTGTTTTGTCTTTGATTTATTTCCTTTTCCCTTCTGTTATCTATTTGTTTCAGGAGACTTTGGGAATATTCCTCCTGCTTAAGAGCGTTAATCTCAGGACTGAATGGTCGCTTATCAAATATACAGGATTTCTAGAAAAAAAGAGAAGCAATTTATTTATGCTAGAATACCAAAAATCAACAAAGAATGAAGTTAATAATTCAAAAGATTAAAATCCAATAGAATATATTTATTGATTTCTAATATTTGTCCAGCCTTCAACACACTGACCAGCTAGAGTTGAAATGTGAAAAATCTGTTGCTGTTGAGTTGATTCTGACACATAGCAACCCTACAGGACAGAATAGAATGGCCCCATAGGGCTTCCAAGGCTATAAATCTTTTTTCTTTTTTTCTTTTTTTTTTTTACTTTTATTGTGGTGAAAACATACTCAACGAGACATGTGCCTACAAAACAACTTTCCCATTTATATACAGCTCAGGACACTGATGACATTTTTCATGTTGTGCCACCATTATTGCTATCCTTTCCCAAAATATTCTACCACCTTTAGTATAAACTCAATGTCCCATAAACAAAAGCTTCCCCTTTCCTCCTCTGCCTACCCCTGATGACCACTAATAACCTTTGGTTATATTTCTATTCCACCCCCCCAGCCTACCTAGGAATTTAAAGCCTATAAATCTTTACAGAAGCAGACTGCCTCATCTTTTATCCCACAGAGAACTGGTAGATTCAAACTACCAACCTTTCAGTTAGCAGCCTAGTGCTTAACCATTGTGCCACCAGGGCTCCTTCAGAGTTGAGGTGACCCAAAGAATAATTATGAGTGTGTTCAAGGTTGAAGCTGAGCAGAAATTACCAAAGCCCCATTTCTGAGAAAGAGATAAAGGGCTACGTGTAGTTGGTCCTGAATTAGCATTTATGACACCCAAATCGAAGGAGGAAAGAATTCTGAATGCATGCAAAAACATAAGCAAAGGCAGAGAGGTGGTGCAGAGAGGGAGAAGTGAGCACCTACCCTAGGCCTGGCCTTACTACACTGGTGATCTAACAGTGAACAAGAACAGAGACCCTTGCTCTCATCAAGCCTGCATTCTGGTGCAGGAAACAGACAGTGTACAAGTAAATTTTTTTAAAAAATCCAGTTTCCATCAAGTCAACTCTAACTCATGGTGACCTATGTGTTAGAGTACAACTGTGCTCCATAAGGTTTTCAAATGGCTGACTTTTTGGAAGTAGATAAACAGACTTTCCTTCTGAGGTGCCTCTGGGTGGACTCAATCCGCCAACCTTTTGGTTAGCATGGTAACGGATTACACCACCAGAAACTCAAAGTAAATGAAAACATTAGATAATTTAAGGTAGTGTTAATTGTTCTGAAGCACTTATCATAGCAAATTACTATGTGAAAGCAAATTACCTCCACTGAAAATATCAGAAGGAGTAGCCAAGCAGAAGGAACAGCCAGTGCAAAGACATAAGATGAAAGCAAGCTTGGCATGGTCAACAAATGGTCTATGGGGCTGAGGCACAACGCACAAGAGAAAAGAAGTAAATGAGCTCAAAGAGGACAGCAGGGGCCAAAACCTAGAGGGCCTGATAGGTCAAGGTAAGGAGTTTAGATTTTATCTTAATTCAGTGGAAGGCCACTGGAGACTTTAAACAGGAGAATAATGTGTTGGTTAACAGTTTTAAAATTTATTTTGGCTACTGTGCGGATAATAGATTGTAGGAGATGTAAGAGTAAATACAAATCTAAAAAAAGAAAAACTTAAAATTTTCCTTGGTGCAAGAAAGGAAAGAGGAGACACACATACACATTTCTTGAGGCATTTACTTTAGAAACTTGTAATTGTGAATTCTTTCTCTGCCACTCATATGTATATATGCATATAACTTTTTTGAAAAAGCTAAATGAGCCATGAGCCTCTTGTCAGTTTTACAACCCAGGAATCTTTTTCTCTGAAAAAGAGAAGGACCTGGAACCCTTCTCTCTGAAATGTAATCATCAAGAAAGACAGGGATCCTATCTCCCTTGAAAAAGTAGGAGTTTAACTTTAGCAAGCACCCCACTCCAAGCTGCAAACCTATCTCCTGTCATAAAGATATGAGAAATTTGGTTTTCCTTTGAATAAAAGCAACTAACAAACACAAGGGGTTACCCCCAATTACTAGTTAATTTAAGATAAACTATATGTAACAAACTATGCTGTCAAGTACTCTTAATTGAGGACTATTTTTCATAAATCTTGAGATCATGTATGTAATGGGCTGTTATCTGCTTGGCTATAGGTATGTGTCAGAGTAGAACTGTGCTCCACAGGGTTTTCAATGGCTGATTTTTTTTAAGTAAATCATCAGGTCTTTCTTCCAAGGCACCTCTGCATGGATTTGAGCTTCCAACTTTTCCATTAGCAGCCCAGTGCATTACCATTTGTACCACTCAGGGACTCCTGGTTATATAAAAGGGTAAGATTTCTTTCTGGCTTTACAATCTCTTTAGCGGATTGCCTATGATGCTTGCTCATCACATTCTGGCTCAATGCTTT